CATGAGGGATAATGATTGACCTGGTGGCACAAGAGAAGTTTGCTCTTTCTGACACCATGAATAAGTCTTAAGATTAGCTCTGTCCAAACGACTACCGATATTAGACTCCTCATAAACAGAACTCTTAGGCTCCCCCTCACCACAAATAACAACCCGTTGATTAGGAAGAAAAAAAAGACAACTCATGTTGATACGATACTGCCTCATCCGCAATCTCATCCATAACACTCTCTCCCTGAGAAGATAGCGGAAGACAAGGAAAAAAAGACTCAGATTCACGGAAGGTGACATCCATACAAACATAAAGCTTACGAGTGTAAGGGTCATAACATTTGTAGCCCTTCTGAATAGTAGAATAACCAAGAAAGACACACTGGACAGCCTTAGGATTAAGTTTTCCACAAGTACGAGGTTGAAGATGAACAAAACAGAAACTACCAAAAAGCATAGGCGGAAGGGAAGAAGTGAGATAAGTCACAAGAAGAAGTTCAAGAGGAATTTGGAAGTTCAGGACACTAGAGGGCATACGGTTAATAAGGTAAGCAGCGGTAAGAACAATATCCCTCCAAAAAGACTTAAGAACTTTCATAGTAAATAAGAGAAAGCGAGCAACTTCAAGGAGGTGGCCATTCTTGCGTTCAACAACTCCATTCTACTGAGGAGTGCCAACACAACTAGTCTGATAAAGAATGCCATGCTCTTCGAGGTATGCCCTGAAAGCTCCATCAACATATTCAGGCCCACTATTTCTACGAAGAATTTTGATAGTGGCATTGAAGAGATTGGACACCATTTTACAAAAATTTTTGAAGCACGAGAAACCTCATTTTTAGTTCGAAGTAAATAAATCCAAGTCACACAAGAATAATAATCAATAAATGTGACAAACCACGATAAACAGAGGTAGAAACCACAAGGGAAGGACCCCACATATCGAATTAATAAGCATAAAAAACAAAGTACTTCTTTTATTAATTGAATGATAACAAGTAAGTTTATGCTTAGTAAGCTCACAAGCATCACAAACAAAGTTATTCCCAGGACAATCTCGAACTAACGAAGAAAAAAATTTCTCTAAAATACTAAAGGAATGATGCCCCAAACAAAAATGCCACTAATGAAGAAGAGGAAGGAAGGAGCCGGAAGTGCATTGAAAAACCTACAAGGACAAAGTTGATATAGGAGGAACGATATCCAGAAAGTATAGTCCACTTTGTGCTCTACCACTGCCAATCATGTTCCCCGTAGCTAATTCTTGAAAGGCACAATGAGTCAGAAAAAAGGTTACAGAGCAATTGAGAGCAGTAGTAATGCTACTAACAGAAAGTATGTTGGTGAAAAAATTAGGAACATGAAGAACAGATGAAAGAGAAAGTAAAGAGATGCAATGAACGGAACCCTTACCGGAGATAGAGGATAAAGTGCCATCAACCACTTTAACCTTATCTCGCCCAGAACCAGGTGAATGAGAATGGAAAAGACTAGAAGTACCCGTCATGTGATCGGTAGCATTGTAATCAACGATCCAAGGAGACGACGAAAAAGTACTAAATGCACTAGTAAAAATACTTGTGTGGGCAAAGTTGGAAAATGCAGAAGAGGAAGGAGTTAAGGTAGATGAAAAATCAAGTCGAGCCATCAAACATCTGAGAGTGTGAAGCTCATCATAGGAAATAGAACCAGTATCACCCGAGGCACTGGTAATAGTCTCAAAAACATGTGCTTGAGGACGAACACTACAACCACGACCACGGCCTCGAGTAGGCCGACCATGCAACTTCCGACAGTGCTTTTTATCATGTCTATATTTCCTACAATAATCACACTTTAATCGGTCTTGATCAACTAAGGGACCCTTTACTACCACCCTGAGACAGATTAGTCTGAGTATTACGTGACTTTGGGGCTACAACCATCGCTGACCAATCCGAAATAGGGACATGCACCATAGCACTACGACGACTCTCCTCTTGCTGAACTAGTGCATAAGCCTCACGCAATGTGGGAAACAGAGAGTGACCCAACACCTAAACCCGTATCTGATCATACTCCAAATTCAGGCCAGCAAGAAAGTCATACACCCGCTCCTTCTTTACAGCCTGTTAAACATAGTGGCATCCGTGGAGCAAACTGGCTGGAAACTCTGGTAGTAATCTAGCTCTTGCCATAAACCACTCAACTCAGCATAGTAGATTACAAGAGAGCGATCCTTCTAATCCGAGCTCCTAATTTTCTTTTTCAATTCATAGGCTTGTGCATCGTTACCCTTTTGAGAATACATCTGAGATTCTGTTATCCAGATCTTGTGAGTAGTATCCATCAAGAGAAAAGTCTGACTAATAGTAGGCTCTATAGAATTGATCAGCCAGGTCATAACTAAAGCATTCTCAGAAATCCATTAAGTAGATAAAACATTATCCTCAGTAGGTTGCTTGGTACTACCGGTAATATAGCCAATCAAACGTCGGGCGGTAATGGTAAGACTACGGGAGCGGGACCAAATCAAGTAATTGGTACTATTATGCTTGGTCAGACTAATCTAGAGAGAATGACTATCACTAAGAGTTATACCATGACTCAGTCCACTTTTCTCCTTGTCCTTAGAGGCCTAACCCTCGCTTTCAGCCATGAGATGAGAGAAAGATGGTGCAGAAACACAAGCAAGATATCAAACAAGTCCTGAAAACACCTAACCAGCACATCAACTCACTTTCTAAGGCTGAAACTGTATGGGGGCGAAATATCATCTGCTTTCCGTACTCCTTGTACTCCAAGCCTCTCTTGACGGCGTCTACTTGGTCACAAAGAAATGGTGAGCTGCCCGGCGGTGGTGTGCCGAATAGACCCTCCGACGATCAAGTCAGTCCACTTGAGGAAGGAGAAGACAGAGAGAGAGTATTTTCTTTTGGGAGAGAAGTTGCATACCTCTAACGTTCGTCCTCCTCCCTATTTCAAGGTTGGCCATGCAGCCTCAAGATTATGCGCGCACTACCTCTGCTGTCCTTCCCAAGACAGGTGGCAGTGCTCGCCTCTCACCACCTTACGCGTGTAAAGGTTTAGTCCTCCCATCAGTACACGTAGAACTGCCTAACGGTATTAAGGCCTGCGTGGAGCAGATGTCCCTTCCCTCGTGCCATTAGCCCAGGTGGCACACCTGACCGCAGTGCCACGACCGGCCTATCTCCCACGAAGAACTATCACTACAGGCGCTCAACCGCGTTATGCCCCACCGGATTGCCCCTTAGCAAAGGGGCGGCGGGGTGATGCTCATAGGCTGGGCTGGAGTTGACCGGTTTGTCGTGGCATACCGGTCGCCAGGCATGCCGGCCTTCGTCCGTTCTACCTTCATCCGAGGTTCTCTGGAATCTGCCCATCTCGGTTCACCGGTCAGAGACGTACCAACCCTCGCTTGTCCATAGTTTAGCCCGAGCTATCCGTAGCCCGGTCTCACCACTTGGCTGTGCGCACTGCCAAATATTTGCGAGTCGCAGCTCGGCCAAGCTTAGTTCACGCCGGTCAGCCGGTCTTTAAGATCGAGCAAAACAGATCCGTCCCATCGTAGCTCGGCTGTACTAACGGCGCAAATCTCCCCTCTCAGAAACAGCACAAGACAATCCCAGAACAAATCAATTGGGAGCCCAAAAACCAAAGCAGACCATCCAAAACTTAGAAAAAATCCAAGGTAGGGCCAAAATACATCAAAACAGGGACAACAAACCCGTTTAGGATTCCAGTCGGCTCCCCAAGATGTGAGGGGAAGGGGAAAAAATAATTGAAAAGAGCTCAAATAATGACTTTCGAAAAATCACCTAGTTTCGATGAAAAATAAAAATAAAAAATGGAAAAATCAATCAATAATAAGCAAAAAAGATCAAAATAAAATTATAGGGTACAAGTCCATTAGATTTCGAGCATAATGCAAACTTTTTTTTTTTTTTAAGACGTTCCAGGATACAAGAAACAAGGATGGAAGAATGAAATGAACAATCTTCAAGGAGAAAGATATCACTTTGATACCATGTTGAATGTATAGATAAGAAGAAGAAGTTGGAGAGAGAGAGAGAGAGAGAGAAATGGAATAATAAGCAAAAAAGATCAAAATAAAATTATAGGGTACAAGTCCATTAGATTTCGAGCATAATGCAAACTTTTTTTTTTTTTTAAGACGTTCCAGGATACAAGAAACAAGGATGGAAGAATGAAATGAACAATCTTCAAGGAGAAAGATATCACTTTGATACCATGTTGAATGTATTGAATGTATAGATAAGAAGAAGAAGTTGGAGAGAGAGAGAGAGAGAGAAATGGTTGCTGTATATAATATTGATTAAAAAACATAGGGTTTTTCCCTCACACACAACTATTTATAATAATAAGAATAAGACATAAAGACCAAACTACCCCTAACACTTAACATTTTACCTTGTTTATTCTTGTGTTTTCCCACTATTTGTATTAGTTCATGTCCCTTTAATCTTACTAAAAAGTTCAGTGTAATTATATTAAAAGTATGAGTTTGTTATATTTTCTTCAAACATCAAGGGTGATCAGTGTAATTTATCGTAAGTTTTACAAATTTTCTTAGTAGATAATGTCTTCTGCAATAATAGAAATCTGGAATTTAAAATATGACACTATTCAATGATTAGGTGAGACATTAGTAGGTAAAAGTTTAGAAGATTTTTTTAGTTTGTATGACATTGCTCACAAAATATAATTTTAGATTGAAAAAATTATTTGGGTAGATACTAATTCAGTCTAGACATTTTTTTAAGAAGCCTAGTCGCATTAGGAGGTGACGGAAAGATGAGAGAAATGAACTCGGACAGATACTTAGCCCACAAGAGATCACTTAAACCGAACTCTAATACTGTATTAGAATTATACTTAAAATCAATTAACAAAGAGTCGTGTAACTTGTAGATTATATGAATTGAATGTGAGTTATTATTATTATTATTATTATTATTATTATTATTATTATTATTGTCATTTGTGAATTTTGGTAGAAGGGTACTTAAAAATAGGCATTAAATTACAACATCTACCTACAACTCGGGCATATGTCACAGGCTGGCTGGCCATGAGCACATCTGAAGAAGAAGACAAAGAAATTACGAAACAAAACAATATAAACATGAAATTATACATCTCATAATAATCACAAAACCAACCACACGATTCCAATATAAAAAAAAAGAAAAAAAAGAAAAGAAAAAGAAACAGAGATCAATAATAGCACTGCCTCTTGCCTAGCCCATGAAGGCAACCAAGCCAGCCAGACCTATCGAAAACCCGAGATTCATGCTCCCAAAACTCCCTGCTGCTCCACTGTATGGGTGTGGTGTGGTGGTGGTGGTGGTGATCGCAGGTGTGGTGGAGGGCTCAGTGGTGGGAGTTGCCGGAGAAGTAGAACCCGCTGGGGTGGTTGGTGATGAGCCAGAACTTGGGGTGGTGGTGGAGGAGGTGGCCGCCACGACGTTGATAGCCATCTTCATGCCACCTTGACAATGGCCAAAAGAAGGGCAGGCAAAGTACATGGAACCAGGTTTGTCAAGGGTGATGGTGGTTTGGCCACCATTGTAGGTGTTGATGGCATTGCCTGTGTTGCAACTGTTGTAGTCACTCTGGCTCATTACTGCCACACTGTGACTGCTTCCATAATTGAACACTATTGTTGTCATCAAGGTTGAAACTTTGGTTAGAAATTATTAAAAATTTTAAACCCATCTTTGAAATTTTTTGATTGGTTTGATTTATAAAGGCGAGCTTGTGAACTGGATAGGTGCAGTCACCTTTGGACTTATTCGGGGTCACATTTCAGTAACTCCATACGTTTATTGAATTGGTCTGGGTCCGTCGTAAGTCTCCATTTAATCATTTGAATTGTTTATTTTTTAAATCATTTTGGTAGATTATGCACGTAAAAAATCAAATCGATATGATAATCATTGTTATTTAATTTTATAACATTTGTTTTCAAAAAAATGAACTACATGAATGATTTTGAAAATAGACTATATATCTTTTTGGAGACGTGTGATAAAATTATGTAATTATGTATGTTGGATTGACTTATTTTTTGCGTGATCTATACAAAATGACTTAAAAAATGAGCAATTCAGATGATTGAAATGTAATCTGTAGTGAGTCTCACAAACCCAAACAATACCGTTTCCATCTATAGTTATAAAACTGAAAATTTGGAAATGATTCCAATTTGTACTCCACACACACACACACACACACACACACATATATATAGATAAATTACAATGGTTTCTTTTAAATTTAAAGAAAAAATAATAAGTTTCACAAATTTGATATATATTGATTCTCTTTAAAGTTTTAATTCACATAACATTTAGTTTTATTTTCATCAATAATTCATTACTTATATGAATAAAAAAATAATGTTATCTTTTTAACACTAAAATGTATATCATACATTGTTTGTCTTTATATTTTCACACCATAATTTCGGTCCTTTAGCCTTACTAAGAAGAAAGTTGGTGTAATTATGTTAAAATTGTAGGATTTCTTGTATTTTTCTCAAACATTAGAAGAGATCAATATAATTTACCTTATATATATATATATATATATACACGTGCAAACATTCAAAAATAATTGGCCAATGGTATGTATTTAAATATTTTTGTCTCTAAGTTCTAATGCATTCCAAATTATCGGATCATAATCTTGAGACATAATTCAATAATTAAGAATGTATTGGGATTGTTTGGTATAACTTATTATAAGGTAAAAGTTGATAATCATAAAGGACAAGGCAAAAGTACCATTCTTCTAACTTTCAAATAATTTTTTTTTTTGACTTATTTAAATTATTTTTATCTAATAAATTATAAGTAGAAGTCGCACCAAACAATTTGACACAAACTTTCAAATTAAAATAAGCTATAATAAACTCTTTTAAGCTGCAACAAACAGTCCCATTGAGACATTGGACAAAAAATTCAAATGGAGAATCTCGTGCTAAATTATTAATATACAAAACATAGATTTAATTAATGTATATCATGTTAAGAAACTTAAAATGATAGAACATGCATGTTTGGTAACCATTTCGTTTTCAGTTTATTATATTTATAAAAATTTTAAAAACTGTCATAAAAATTTGTTTGATAATATATATATTTTTTTTGTTTATAAATGGTTATCTTAATTTGTAAATTTGAGAAAAAAACGTAAACTCAAAAATGAGTTTACGTTTTTAAATGGTTATAAATGGTTATCTTATCTCGTGCTAAAAATTTGTTTATAAATGGTTATCTTAGTTTTTAAATAGAAATTTAAAAATTTGACTAACAAATTTTTTTTTTCAATTAATTTTTTTTTCAAATAATTTTTTTTAATTAATTTTTTTTTAATTGTAATGTGTATGATTCCATTGTCATAAATTATAAAAAATAAATATAAATATTTTAAGTCTGAACAAACATATTTTTTAGTTTATGTTTTTAAAATTTTACTAAACGCGTTTGTAATTTATGTTATTTTTTAAAAATAAACGAAAACCAATTTATAAAATTTTTATAAACATAAATAAAAAACGTAAACCTTACCAAACTCTCCACGTCAAAATTCATATAACAAAAAATGTACAACCATTTAAAGTCAATTTAACATAGCATTCACATTCAGCAGACCCTTAAAACAAATATATGTATGCATTCATTGTTTTTATGATGGCCCCATAAGTTGAACCAACTTACAAAGTGTATCGCCGACAGTGAAAGTTGCTCCGGCAGCCCAAGTGCTATAATCTGTAGTCTGGCTCCACCCACTGGTGCCGCCAACCGTGTGCTGCACTGCTTGGACCGCCGGAGCAACCACCACCAAGAGGGCTAGGACAGCAGCTGCCATTGCCATTGCCATATCTCCAAAGCTTTTTCTTATATGTATGTATGTATTAGATGCTTAGCAATGAAAGTGGATGAGAATGAGGCACAATTGTGGTAGAGAGTCTCATTGGCATGTTATATAGAGAGTCTATAGACAACCAAAGTCATGAAAGTTGGTGTACTAAATGCAATATATAATTTACCAGGCAATAAGTTATGTACATGTTTGTTTACTTACTTCTGTCTCAATCTAATAATTTGGTGTGCCAATCTCCCCATGTTCACCTAACGCATTAAGAAGCTGTCACTCTCTCTCTGTCTCTCTCTGTCTCTCACACACACACACACAAATCATATAGCTTATGGTGGTTTAATTGTCTCAACCATTGAGTTAATGTTGCGTGAGTAAAGCACAAGCTGAGATGTGTTAGTTTGGAGCATATTTCAAGGTAATATTTATCCGTATCGGATAAAAGTAAATGAAGATTTTAATATATATTGAATAGAGCCTAACTTACAGACTTAAACTTTTAAGTAAAATAAGTATGAATTTAAAATAATATATGTTGGGTTCTAATATCGTTCAAATTAGACCGATATTGTTGCACGTTTGTGAGTTCTTCAAATTACAAAAAGTCATTTTCAAAAATTAAATGGAAAATTATCCTGGTAATCTTTATACTTTAGTTCTTGTGTCATTTTGATCTTTGTAATTCTCATTAGCTCGATTTTGACATTGAATTTATAAACTTATCTCAATTTGATCCAATTGATTATAATTGTTAGCATTTTTTTTTAATGAAAAATAGGCTTATAAGTTACACGTGTCATATTTTTAGGGATAAAATTATAAATTTGCTCAACTCAGCGAGTTAACCTCAACCAGTTCAGTGAGGTTAACTTTACAAAAATTAAATGGAAAATTATCCTGGTAATCTTTATACTTTAGTTCTTGTGTCATTTTGATCTTTGTAATTCTCATTAGCTCGATTTTGACATTGAATTTATAAACTTATCTCAATTTGATCCAATTAATTATAATTGTTAGCATTTTTTTAATGAAAAATAGGCTTATAAGTTACACGTGTCATATTTTTAGGGATAAAATTATAAATTTGCTCAACTCAGCGAGTTAACCTCAACCAGTTCAGTGATAATTTTTCCTCAAAAACTCTTAATAGTGTTATCAATTTACTAAATTGATACAATATCTAAAATTAAGAGTCAAATTGAATTAATTGAAAGTGTGATATTAAAATGACATTAGAGACAAAATGTAGGACAACCAAAGTAATGGGCATAACTCCCCTCAAGATTCCATATTCTCCATAACCCTCAAGACTTCATTTTGTAGCCCTATGAGATCTTACAATGGTGATTCGAATTATTCATCTCATAAGTCTTAAAGAAAAAAACATTTATGCAAACAATTAGGTTGATTAGAAATCAATACAGGTACTAATTAATCGTGTTTCGTTTTATGAAATTGACGATTGTAGACACCCCATTTTTGACCGACCTTAAGACTCGGACGTCACCGATCGAGCGCTTGGTGATGTTGCATATTGTGCTCGTCCAGAAGTTTCAGAATCTCGGCTGCGAGCCTTGCCTCCGGATTTCCGGACTCTTTTATGCTTTGCCTCGGTTTGCGAACCAAGCTCCGTTTTCTCTGTTTTCTCTTCCCGAAGGGAGGGAGAGGTCTCGTAGACCATCTCTCAGTGGCCGTAGGCTTCGTTTCATGGTCGTAGGCCATTTTGCCCGTTTGGAGTCCGGTTTCCGGTTTTTCGAAGCCGTTGGCCGTGTGCCTCGGTTCGGGACCGCTTAACCATCTCCGTTTGCTCCGGTTTTTGGCATACTTCTTATTTGCTCCCTTTTGAGGGACACTGGGGTCCGAGAGACCAACTTCGTGGTCGAACACCACTCCCGGTTCCTAACAGCCGGTTTTCGGGGCCTCGGGCTACGTGTTTCGGCCCTCGAACCTTCATTCTGCATCGGTTTGGGTTCATTTTTGGCAGGGACCTCTGTTTCATTGGTAAGAAGGCCGTAGAAGGGTGGGAGGCCAGTAATTGTTCTGTCAGCCAACTTTATCCCTTCATCGCCCTCCGTCGCCCGATTTTCCTCACTTCAAAGCCAATGTTGAACACCCTTGGGCTATTTTCTTGCACCCTGAACCCCATATTTGTGATGTACACATCTGGGAGGCCACCAATATTTGGTGGCCGGCCAGTAATTGTTGTTGAACCTTTTGAACCCCTTTGAAAAGTGGGTTGTTCTCTCTCCTCGTTCACTATTTCCAGTGTTTAACCACAGGGTTGTGTTGTGCACACATCAGAGGCTCTCTTTTTAGGATGGCCGGCCACTAATTCTCATTGAACCTTTTGACCCTTGGCCGGCCGGCCATGGGAAGTAGCCAGCCAGCCACCTGCAACCTGGATAACCAGCCGGCCATGACCCCCTCCAATGATACAGTTCAAATATGCACCTCTTTTCCCCACAGATTTTGTATCCGGGGGGGCCAACTTTTTGGGAGGAAACTTGAATTGTTTTCCCCCCCATTTTTCCCCCCTTTTCTCCCCCTTTTTTGTCTATATAACAGCAGCTCCAGCTCTGTTATGAGGGTTACAAAATTGCCCTAAGAGCTTTGCATACATACACCTTCTTCTCCCTCTCTTCCAACCTTCAAACCTCACCATTTCTACACCATTTCCACACCATCACCCAGCATCACACCACCACTCCATTCAAGCAACTTGGAGGGCCTTCTCAAAGCTTTGGAGGCACCCTTCCTCAAGCCAAAAGGCTGCTAAAGTTTGGTCTACAAGGGTAAGCTTTATTTCCCTCTTTTTGGTCCATATTTTGCATGCTTTCTAAGCCATACTTGCTTGCTGTTTTGGGCTCCGAACCTAACTGGAACTAGTCTTATTTTGAGCTCCTTTTCACTTTTGTTTAAGGTCCTCTCATTGTTTGAGGCCTCCTTGTTGCACTTGCTTCATTATCCCTCTTGTATGCCATTATCTTGTGTAGTATTTTTGGCCTATGTATAAATTGTTTTGAGGCATGTCATAAACTGAAAAGTTGTTTATTTTGAGCCCTTATTCAACATTGTTGAAGGGCTCATCACTTTTTGAGGCTTCTATCTTCCACTTGCCTTTATATCTCTCTTTTGGCCTTATTTTTGCATGATTTGTTAGCCTATTGTGCTTCTATTTTTGGGCCGAGGTCTGAACTGAAAATGACCTTATTTTGACCCCCTCTTCATATTTTATTAAGGGTCTTTCACTGTTTGAGGCATCCTTTTTATACTTTGTGTTATAGCCCTCTTTTTGGCCTTATTTTGCATGGCATTTTGAGCATTCTTGTACACTGTTTTTGGTCCGGCCACCAACTGTAAAATATCATATTTTGGGCCCCTCTTCAACTTTGTTGAAGGGCCCTCTCGGGTTTGAGGTCAGCAGCTGTGACTTGCTTCTTTATCTCACATTTAGGGCCATTTTTGCATGCTAGTTTTGCCCTATTTTTGTTTATTGTTTGACCTTGCTTAGAACTGTGAATGTGCTTATTTTTGGGCTGTCTTGACTCTGTCTTTACATTCCATGTTCAAATGATGCATGCTTGATGTAGCTACAAGTCATTTCATGTGCTTAATCTTGCATTTCGGGACCATTCCTTGCATCGGGTGCCATGTTTCCATGATTCGGGGCTGTTTTGGGTCATTTTTCAGCGCTGAAATTTGTATGTTTGCATACCATGTCTCATGCCTTGCCATGCTTTGGTAGAGTGGCATTCGTGCCTTAGGGTCGGTCCTCGGTTTGCGTGCATGTGTGCGCGCATTTCGAGTGTCACATTTTCATCTTATGGCCTCTTATGTGAGTGTGGCTGAAGTCCACTCATGTTAATGTAAGTCCATTGTGCATTGTGTATGCCATTTCATTTCATAGCATTGTGTATGCTAAGTTGTATGTTAGCGCATTGTGTATGCCATGTTATCTCGTGCATCGTGTATGCCATTTCATAGCATTGTGCATGCTAGGTTGTATAGTAGTTGCATTTCATGCATATCATGCATATTGCATCATGCTTGGGGTAGGAGTTAGCCCGGGCACAAGAAACGAGGTACGTTTCGTACTCTGAGTGACGGAACGTGTCTCAATTCCCAGTCACCGACACTCCGGATTATCCATGATGGAGTTAGGTTTTAGTTGAGTTTTCATGTGCATTCATTCTATATTGAGTAATGCAAATCGACTCCTCGGCCATCATGCATCGATATACGTGATTGGTGGCACGAGGATCGAGGCATGCATACATCTGTGAAAATACATTGCTATGCCCCTCTCCTGCTCTCTGTTGCAGCAAATCAAGAATCAGCAGTCTTCCAGGGATTGGCGCGCTTTCCAAGAACCATTGCAAAACAGAGGCTAATTGGGGCATCCCAGTGGATTTCCACGCAAGGCAGCCCGGACATGCATCATCCAAAGAAGAGTCAAGACAGTCCCTGGCTTGCATGTCAGTTTATTATTTTTCTTAGTTAATTTGTAAATTAATTAGGAATTTGTATATATTTGGACTGTGTTATTTGGACTGTACTATTTATTCGGACATTCTGCGCGAGGGCACAACTGTAATAAGTGTGCGTGAGTGTGATGTATGTCTTCCAACCCCACGTCTTTCTTCCCTTTTATTTACCTGCTTATGATGGTTAGATTATGGCATGTTTAAATTAGCATACAGTATGACAACATGTTTGCATCATTCATCTGTATTGCATGCACTAGGCTCGGCGCATCATACTAACTGCATTCGTATTTTCAATTCCAAGTTGAGTACATGTTAGCTGTTACATCATCATATGCCATCTTAGAATAGCCGAGCCTGCTATAGTTGCATTTTTGCATGTGTTGCATTAGGCATTTCTGTATAATTAGGATCATGCATGGATTTCTAATTAGCTTCTGTTTTGGCTTGGAGTACTCGGTAAGTTTTATGCTTTAGCATCCTTGCATGTCATTCTAGCA